GAGGCTAGGACCCCAGGGGTGCAGGTATGGTGGGACCCTTGTGGGGGATGCAGGAGAGAGGCAGAGGCCCTGGGAAGACCCCCCCCACGTAGGCACCCCGGGGAGGGGGGCCAAGCCCAAAGAGGGAGGCTCTCCACCTCCCACCGCTCACTTACTCCCCCCGACTCCATTTCCAATTCAAAAGCCCATTTTTCTGCTCCAATAACTTGCTGTGGGGCCCCTGGGCCAGGGTAGGCATGCAGCCCCCCCACCCCCTGGCCAGGAACGTTGGGGGTGAGGGTGTACAACAACAGGTTCCCACACTCCCTCCACCGTGTCACCCCAGCCCCAAACACCTCCCACCCCATAAACCCCCCTCTGTTTGCCTCCAGCATCTTTGTCAACCGGAGCCTGGCGCTGGAGAAGATCAAGTGCTTTGGCTTTGACATGGACTATACCTTGGCCAGTGCGTTTTTGGGGACAGGACGGGGACTGGGGTAGGGTGGGGGGTGGTGGGACCCACCCCCTAGCCCCTCTCCCCCTGCTTCCCGCCGCAGTGTACAAGTCCCCCGACTACGAGGAGATGGCCTTCACCCTACTGCTGGAGCACCTCGTCTCCATCGGGTACCCCCAGGAGATCCTCACCTACAAGTACGACCCCACCTTTCCCATTCGGTGAGTTTTGGGGAGGGAGGGTCGAAGGTGGAGGGTGGTCAGCAAGGCCCCCTTCCCCCCCACTGACAGGGTGTGGGTTGCAGGGGGCTGGTGTTTGATGCCATGTATGGGAACCTGCTGAAGGTGGATTCCCATGGGAACCTGCTCGTCTGTGCCCACGGCTTCCGCTTCCTCAAGGGGTGAGTCTGGGACTCCCCCCCCCGCAGGGGTACTGCGAGGGGGTCCCTCAAGGTGGGGTGCAGCTCTGTACTCCTTCCCCAGGGCCGAAATCCTCCACTATTACCCCAACAAGTTCATCCAGCGGGACGACATGAAGCGCTTCCACATCCTCAACACCCTCTTCAACCTCACGGGTAAGTGAGATCACACACACTCCCCCTACCCCCCGCAGCCCCTCTCACCCCCTCACCACC